AGTACTTAGCAACAGACTTGGCAATTTGATGGTTGGAAGCGATGACGACACTTTTTGAAGCCAAGGCGAGGTTTTCTTTTCCAAACAAAGCGACGACTTCCCTCACACTCTGCTGCAGGTCACTTCCAACTTGTTTAGCCGATCCTCTAGAAACCAACGGTACATCATCAATCCATATGTGCCCCCCCGTCCTCGGGTGAACAATATATATATATATATATATATATATATATATGTATGTATGTATGTATGTATGTATGTATGTATGTATGTATGTATGTATGTATGTATGTATGTATGTATGTATGTATGTATGTATGTATGTATGTATGTATGTGTGTATATATATATATTGTAACACATGGAATACGTCATGCACCTAGCCAGACGAGTTCCGTTTCTCAATCCCTGCGCGATGCTCTGAGTAGGTTCGAAGGCGAGAGAGTGAGCGCCGAGTTGGGGCAAAAGACGAGGACAGACGTAAAGCTGCAGCTCAAGCATGAGGAGCACAGGAGGGACCCCCAGCGTCAGAGCGGCCTGCGCGAGCCCCCACCACCTCATCCCATCATAAAACCTCCTATATCGAGCAAGACTTGGCCGTGCGTGACCCCTCTCTTGGCAGAACTTTCGGCATCAACTACCGTAGTGAACGCTTCGTGCATGGGTGAGTTCCCGGCTATCGCAGCGCCCCACTTAGGTTTAGTGTCACTAGCCCAATCCTTGGCAAGATCGTCGCGACATAGACTCCGCAAGCGCGAGGACATCGCAAAGCAAACCGATCACCCTGTCTCCCGACGATTTTTTTGGGGAATCAGACGGCCCAGGGCCGAAAGCATTTGCCCCGGCCAAGCAAGACTTGATTCAATGCTAGTATATATATAGTAGCTAGTTCCTCGAGCCCCGCATCGGGAAGCCTCTCAAAAGCGAGAGGGGTCATGCGATCTACGCCGAGACCCGCGCGCGGACGCATCGTACTGAGCCCCTTCCTCAAGGCTGGGACCGCCGAAGGAGCTAGCTGCTCGACTTCCGCATGCTGCCTAATCGTTTCAAGCGCGTCCTGAACGACTTCCCATGGAAATGGCCTCAGGGGCCCAAAGCTTGTGCTGATGCGAAACCTCGGCATCGACACTATCCCTGGGATGATAAAGCCGCTGACCCTTGTGGTAAAGTTCGTCGACAGCCTGCGGTGATGAGCGAAGGCAGCGATGCAAAGTGCCAAGGGGGGACTCTTGCACAACCCAGTCTTGAAACTTCCGAATGGACGCCTGCATGGCTGGCCTGCCGACGGGCGCGCTGTGCTATCTTATCTGCATGCTGTGCCATGCCATCCAACGTGTCCAGAGAAAGCGAGTTGATATCCTGAAGCCTGTGCTCCCAGTGTTCCCAAGACAAGTTTTTATTTCCAGGAATGATAACCGCCAAAGCTCCACCTGGAAGATCCCGAGCAAGACTGCGAGCAAGCGCGACGAGACGAGCGACTTGTATCGACCCATTCTTCGTGCACGATGACGGTGACAGCGCTGCAGAACCGTATGGATCCGAGCCCACCACGATGCAGTCTGATCAGCCAGCGGCTCATCTCTCAAGTTCTCAGCTTTATGAACTAGGTGCACGACAAGTTGAGGCCCCTGAGCCCTCGAGCGCCCTTGAGGTTCCCACTCGTCATGATGCTGCCGATGCACCTCTTCAACGGTGCGGACCCATGAAGCATACAGCCCGCTGATAGGTAACATATGCTGCCCCCCAACTTTGACAGCCATGCTACCCCCAATGACTGGCCACGCATCCTCTTGTGTCTGACTAGTGAATCCAATTTCGCTCCTGACGCTGTCCCACAAGTGAGGGGGGATGTGGTAGGAAGGCTGACTATCATTGCAATGGTGACTAGCTCCAGCCGGCTCGACTGTGGGGACCTCGGGGTTGGGGGCACTATTTTGGGCAGGCGGCCTTGGGAAATCCTCGGCCCAGGGGTCAGGCTCTTCGGCCCAACTGTCAGGCTCGTTGAAAGCGGCATTCAAAGGGTCCTCGGAGTCCGTGGAGCTTTCCTGAGACGATTCCCCAGAGGCTTCCTGACCCGTGGGATCCAGCAGGTCCCCGAAAAACCGAGCGCAGGCTTCGCTAAACTTTTCCCGAAAAACGGTCCTACGCTGCTGCTTGGTCAATTTGGCCTGCTGCGACTTCGAATTGGGTTGTGGCTTGGCCAGGGGTCTGGGCAGTTGCGGGAGCTTGGAGGCGAGGAGGAGGGACCGAGTGATCAACTGCATGCCCGCACTGCGCAAAACTAGGCTGAGTCGGCAGTGGGTCTCCCATGGGACGTCCAGCACAGGCTCCAGCTTGAGTATGTACGGGCACGCAGACTTGGACGTGAGGAGGAAATCAATGTGTGAGCTCCCAGACCCCGTCACGCAGGTACGTTCTTCTCTGCGTGTGAACACAGCGCCGCCTACTTTATCTATAAACCCGCATTTAGCTAGCTGAGCGGGGCTAATGTTGAAATCCCCTATGACGGCCCAGGGCATCTTTCAAGATTTCAGCATCGCCCCCAAGCGTGCTAGTCTCTGAGCGTTTGCCCCAGAACATCCTAGAGAGGAAATCCCGTAGTATATAATGAGAACTATGCTATACCCAGACATGTGAAGCACCGCGGGAAGAAAGCAGTCGAACTATTCACACTGAGGAGAGGCAAGCTCAGGGAACTGCTGCGCCGTCCCTAAACGTTCGACATGAACGTGCCCTGGCGCAAGGAAGAGCTTACCTCCCCCCCGCGAGCTTTCTGGCTGTCACTGCCGTGCTCCGGCCTGGGGTGATTAAAGAGCAACCGAAACTTCTGCTGCCGAATCTTCCTAGTCTACTCGCTGACGCGAGATTCTAAAATGTTCGTCTCTACAATACCGAAACATTGAAACCGTTGCCTCGTACCTTTGGCTGAAAGATACTTCTACGCTTGCTCTCCCCAGCATGAGACATTGCCGAGCGGCATGGCTGTGCTGTCAGGCTGATCACAATCGTGTGCAACAGGCAAAAAATGGCTGGGCCCCAGGCGAGCCCGTCTTCGTAGACGGTGGCTCTGCTTGAGAGCCCTCAGACGATAACAAAGTAGCCGACGGCATCGGAGTAGCCGAAGACGACGTCGTCACAGATGCCTGGCTGCTGGGCGCGGGCTCGTGGCTACCGGCAGGTGCGGTAGCCCCCTTCGGCGCCTCGCGGCGCGGCGCCTGCAGCGGCCGCGGCTGCGAGCTGCTCCCGCGCGGGGCCCACCGCTTCGAACTTCGCGTCCGAGATCCTTTTGGCCTCCGCCTCGAGCTCCTCCTCTGGTGGCACGGGCGCGCTCTGGGCGGCACTCGCTGCCGCCGCCGCTGCCGCCTGACCGCCTGTGGGCTGGCTGCTGCCACTGGCTGCGCCGCCCGAGCCCTCTCCGCCTGTGGCGTGGGGCTGGCTGGTCGTGCCGCCGCAGGTCGCCGCGTCGGGCCTGGTGATGCTTGGCTCTCCCTTGCGCTTCTTGGCCATGCGCGTCTGGACCGCCGCCTGCAACGCCAGCATGCGCTCCTTCCACTCTGTGATTGTGCCTCCCTTGTCGTGCAAGGCCTCGCGGGCCTGCTTCGAGTCCGCCTCGATGGCCCGAAGCTCGGTCCGCTCGCTCTCCTCGCACGCGTAGCTATCCAGTTGGGCGAAGAAGTCTTCGTCCCAGACGATGTCGTAGGTGGCCGTCTTCTCCTCCTGCACCTTGGACGCCTGCGCTGGAAGCACGCCCGCCTCCTGCGCCAATGCCCTGGTGGCCAACTTCCTCTGGTGCTCCGCGAGCGCCAGTGTCTTGGCAGCCTCGACTTCCTTAGCCTCGGCTGCCTGCAAGTTCTCCTTGAGCTTGAGAACCTGGTTGACAGCCTGCTCGTGTTTGAATGCGGCATCCTTCCAGCTGGACGTGGCCTTCTTGACCGCGTCGTCCGCCGAGATGGGCTTAGCTGGAGGGCCGAACGCCTTCAACGACTGCACCTGTTCGAGCAACATCTTCTTCTGACCAAGGTCCTGTGTGCCACGTAGCATCTGCGACAAGAGATCCTCGACCTGCCTCGCCTGATCTGTGGTGGACACGCCATTCAGCTTGTCGGCTGTGCCATGGATCTGGGCCAGTTGATAATCGCTACTCTGAAAAACATCCACTGCTTTTGTGAGGGGGCTTTGGCTTGTAGATCTTGACTGAACACCTGCACTTCGCACATTGGTTGGTAGCTGCTGCCAGGATGTCGTTGTATTCATACGTGTGACATCGAGCGCAGCACGACCATGGGCGGGACGGGTTCGATGCCATTCCTCCCTGCTGTCGTCAGCGAAATCGACCGTCTACCTAGAGACGGGCGGCCCAAACACATCGTGACGGCGCAGGGACTGGCTGAGTGCAAGTGCGCGCTCGAGCCAGAATTGCTTGAGAGGAGGAGGAGGAGGAGGAGGAGGAGGAGGAGGAAGGAGGAGGGAGGAGGAGGAGGAGGAGGAGGAGGAGGAGGAGGAGGAGGAGGAAGGGGGAGGAGGAGGGGAGGAGGAGGAGGAGGAGGAGGAGGAGGAGGAGAGAGGAGGAGGAGGAGGAGAGGAGGAGGAGGAGGAGGAGGAGGAGGAGGAGGAGAGGAGGAGGAGAGGAGGAGAGGAGGAGGAGGAGGAGGAGGAGGAGGAGGAGGAGGAGGAGGAGGAGGAGGAGAGGGGAGGGGAGGGGAAGGGGGAGGGGGAGGGGGGGGGAGGGGAGGGGGAGGGGAGGGGAGGGGGAGGGAGGGAGGAGGAGGAGGAGGAGGAGGAGGAGGAGGAGGAGAGGAGGAGGAGGAGGAGGAGGAGGAGGAGGAGGAGAGGAGGAGAGGAGGAGGAGGGCGGGAGGCGGAGGCGGAGGCGGAGGCCGAGGCCGAGGCGGAGGAGGAGGAGGAGGAGGAGGAAGGAGGAGGAGGAGGAGAGGAGGAGGAGGGAGAGAAGGAGGAGGAGGAGGAGGAGGAGGAGGAGGAGGACGAGGAGGATTGAACGAGGAATGGCACGACTGCCTTGTACGCCGCGGCCAGCGCTGGCAACCACGACGTGGTGCAGTTTCTTGTCCTTCAGCCGAGTTTGGACCTCAATAAGACAGACAATAATGGCATCACCCCGCTGTTCGCGGCAGCCAAGTCTTGCCATATCAGAGTAGTACGCTGTCTCGTCAGGCAGCGGGGCATAGACATCAATCAGCAAGACCAGAACGGCGTCACTGCCCTGCACGCCGCGGCCGACACCGGCTCCCTCGAGCTGGTGAAGCTCATCGCCTCGCACCCTGGGGTGGAGATGGACCGCCTGGACACGTTGGGGAACTGCGCCGTCTTCGCGGCCGCCAAGGCCGGCCACCTCGACGTGATGCACTACCTCGTCGCGCAGGCCGCCAGGACGGGCACCAGCTCCCTCGGCTACACGCAGGCAGGGCTCATTTCGATCCTACCGATCCGAGTCGACATCGATGCCGGCCAGCCCGATCCGATTAGGGATTTCCCGACGAGCCGATGCGCACCGCTGCCTGCAGGGCGCTGCCGTGCATCCCGGCACGGCCGACCCGATCCGGCTCCGACCCCGTGCCGGCGTGGCCCGATGTCCGGCGCGCGTTCCGGCTCGCTCTGGTCTCCCGGTTCGCCAGGCATCCGGCTGCTCCAGCTTGTTCGATGCCTGGGCCCCGGAAGCCCTGACCCCTTCCCCAGGGCCGGCTTTTCGCCCGCAGGCGTTTTTTTTACGCTGCCAAGGCCCGGCCAGGGCCCGCGGAGGCCGAAAACACCACAAGAACCGCCTGCTCCAATTGCGTCGAGGTGAGCCCTGCCTCCCTGCGTCGTTGTGCCGCGGCCCTCGCGGCGCCCTGGTCCGGGGACCACCTCTCTTTGGAGGCGACGGCTCCAACATCGAAGGATGAATGGACAACGTCGGATCTCTGGGTCGATTGCGAGTCGATTGCGGCCGATCCTGCGCAGGCGGGCGTCGTCGCTCCCGTCGCGGCCCGCGAGTGCGCGGGCGCCGCCGGGGCGGCCAGGCCGCGCTTGAGGGCGCGCCCGAAGCCGAGGGGGGCGCAGCGCCCCGGGCCCGGCCAAGAGGAGCTGCTCGCCGCCGAGGCGAGCGCCTCGGCCGCGGCGCGGGAGCTGCTGGCCGAGGACGGGCAGGGCGCCCTGGCCAAAGGACGAGGAGGAAGAGGAGGAGGAGGAGGAGGAGGAGGAGGAGGCTGAGGCGGAGGCGGAGGCGGAGGCGGAGGCGGAGGCGGAGGCGGAGGAGGAGGAGGAGGAGGAGGAGGAGGAGGAGGAATTTTATTAATAATGCTAATTCTAATAAGAAGAGTGAGAATAATACGACTAATACTAATAATGAGCATATGGATAGTAAGAAAACGAATATTAGTAAGAAGCAGACGACGAGTACTACTAATCCTGCCAATAATATTCATTATCATACTACTAACATCAATAAGACTACTACTAATATCACTAGAACTACTAATGCGACTACTAACAATACTAATACTAATGATACGAATGCTACTAAACACAATACTACTACTTCTACTTCTACTACTACTACTACTACTACTACTACTACTACTACTGCTACTACTACTACTACTACTACTACTACTACTACTACTACTACTCCTACGACTAATACTACTACTAAAAGTACTACTACTACTACTACTACTACTACTACTACTCAAAATAATACTAATACTACGAATAATAATATTACTAACATTAATATTACTACTTGTAATAGTAATAATAATACTAATATTAATATGACAATAATATGAATAACAATACTACTATTATTCATAATAATAATAGTAATAATAATAATAATACTAAAAATCATACTAATAATACTAATAACATTAATGATAATAATAAGAAGAACACGATTCGTAATATTAATAATAACAGTATTAATCAAACATAATAATAGTAATAATAATAATAATAATAATGATAATACTAATACTAATAATAACAATATTAATAATAATACTAATAATAATAAAAAAAGGCGAACACGAATAATACTATTTAGACTAAGAATAATACGAGGAGGAGGAGGAGGAGGAGGAGGAGGAGGAGGAGGAGGAGGAGGAGGAGGAGTGCTCGCCAGAAGAATCCTTACGGTCGGGAGCTTCGGGCTCAGCGTGTCGCGCCGCACGTTCTCGCTCACAGCGCTTGGACGCGACACGCTGACCATTTCCCGGTCTCCCGAAGCGTCAACGGCCTGAGCCTCTCCGAGCCTCCCGCCCCCTGCGGAGCGGAGCGGGGCGACACGCCATCCGCTTACAAGGCAAAGCGTGTCGCAGGAGTCGCCGCCTCGACACGCTAAGCAAACGTGCCTGATTCTAACATATTGGGGTACCTGCTGCAGAGCTTTCGCCAAATAACCTCAGGGTTCCTTCGGGTTCCCTCGGGATCCCCAGGGTTCCTGAGATTTTCCCCGGGTTCCTCAGGCATCCACCGGATGTTCCTAGGATTCCTCAGGATGCCTTGGGAGCCCTGCGGATTCTTCAGAAGTCTTGAGGGATCCCAATGCTTCCTCAGGAGCCCAAGGGCTCCGCAGGAACGGGCCCTCCTTGTCCTGAACCGAGAAAAGTCGCTCCAGAGCGTTCTCAGACGCTCTCAGAGCTTTCTGGAGCGCTCTGGAACGGCCGCGCCGCCCGATGCATCCTCCAGATTCGCCAGATCTCATGGAAACCCGATTTCTCAGGGTTCGATGTTGCCTCAGTCCTGGCTTCGTCTAAGCCTGGGCATTGGTTTGGAGCGGATTTTGCCTAGACTTGAGTCGGCACTGTCCCTCTACAGGGGGAATCTTCCAAGATAGCTCAAAACAGTCTGGGGATGGTTTTTGGATGATTTTTGGCTATTTGGGGGTATTTTTTGCCAATCTGTCATTTTTCGCCTAAAATCCGCCTGTAGGGGGACATGCCCGACCTAAGCCCAGACGCTCTCCCGCCGACCCAGCCCCGTGAGCGTGCCCGTTTGCGCGTGGTGCGTGCCGCGGCCGTGGCCCGCGCCGGCCAGCGTGAGAGGGCCTCCTCCTCCTCCTCCTCCTCCTCCTCTCGGCCTCCTCCTCCCTCCTCCTCCTCCTCCTCCTCCTCCTCCCTCCTCCTCCTCCCTCCTCCTCCTCCTCCTCCTCCTCCTCCTCCTCCTCCTCCTCCTCCTCCTCCTCCTCCTCCTCCTCCTCCTCCTCTCCCCCTCCTCCCCTCCCCCCCCTCCTCCTCCTCCTCCTCCTCCTCCTCCTCCTCCTCCTCCTCCTCCTCCTCCTCCTCCTCCTCCTCCTCTCCTCCTCCTCCTCCTCCTCCGCCCTCCCCCCCTCCCCCTCCCTCCCTCCGCAACCATGTGTGAGACCTCCCTTTTCCCCGTTGCCCAGCTGTCCACCCGCACTTGTCCTGGCCAGGCGGATTTCTGACTCCAGGGTTATTCGAGGCCCCCCTGTAGGTTCAAGTCGGGCGTGACCCTCCACAGGAGGAATCTTCGAAAATAGTAGAAACATAGTCTGGGGACGATTCTTTGGCTATGTTCTGGCTATTTTCGAACATTTTTGGGGTACTTTTCTGGGGGGGGCAAAACGCGCCTGTAAGGGGACACGCCCGACCACAACTATAGGTGGGGTAGCCGCACGGCGTGGTGACGCGAGTGAGCGGGCGTTCGGGGTGGCCGCACGGCTCTGGGTGCGCTCGGTCGTGCTCCGAGGGCTTCTCGCGCGGCCGGGGTCTTCCCAGAGACGTGCGGTGACGGACCGCGCGGCGAGGTCTTCGGGAATGCCGAGGTCACCGAACGGTCTGTCACCGCACCGTGTCGAGACCCCCAAGTTGTCAAAGGCCACGATGCGTCCCACATCTCCGACGCCGCGTCCTCTTCGAGGCGTGGTCTCCTGGATCCCCCCCCTTCCTGGGGCAGGTGCTGCGGAACCAGAGCCCGAAACGGGCATGCAATCCCCGAAACAGGAGCGTTGCATTTTTCTCCCAACAGTTGTGCTGCCTGGGTACTCCTGTTAGAGAAGATAATCTCGCCCGATGGACCAGCGCACGTAGATATCCTCAAACTTTGGAGGTGATCTGAACCGTTCTGCTAGAGACGTCCTCATAACTCTCGCTTCCTTGCAGGCCAGGGTTGGGCGTTTCGCTTGAGGCATCCTCGCAACTCTGAGCTCCGAGATGCCGCGCGCGAGGTGGTCCAGCGCGTTGCGCGTGAGACATGCTCGCAACTCTGTGCTTCGAGAGATGTCGCGCTCGAGGTGGTCTGGCCCGTTTCGCTCGTGACATCTTCTCAACTCAGGTTCCGAGGTGACGCGCGAGAGGCGGTCGGGTGCGTTTGGCTTGAGACATCCCAGCAGTTTCCGGTTTCGAGATATCGCTCGCCAGGTTGTCTGGCCCGTTTCGCATGAGACACCTTCACAACTCTGGCTTCTGAGAAGATGTGCGCAAAATGGTCTGGCACGTTTCGCCTGAAGTCTGGGCTCCGAGATGCCGCGCGCGAGGTGGTCTGGCGCGTTTCGCTGCAGACATCCTGGCAGTTCTGGGCTCCAATGTATCGCTAGCAAGGTGGTCCAGGCCGTTTCACCCGAGACATCCTCACAACTCTCGCTTCCGAGCTGGCCAGGACTGATCGTTTCGCCTGAGACATCCTCGCAACTTGCAGCTCCGAAATGCCGCTCGCGAGGTCGCCCAGTGCGTTTCGCCTGAGACATACTCGCATCTCTGGGCTCCGAGACGCCGCGCTTGAGGTGGTCTGGCTCATTTCGCTTGAGACATTCTCGCAATCCTGGCTTCCGAGGTGCCGCGCACGAGGTGGTCCAGCCCGTTTCGCCTGAGATATGCTCGCAACTCTGGCTCTGAGACTTCGTGCTCGCCTGGGACATGCTCGCAACTCATGGCTCTGAGAAGCTGTGCGCGAGGTGGTCTGGCCCGTTTCGCCTGAAACATCTTCGCAAGTCTGGGCTTCGAGATGCCGCGCGCGAGATAGTCTGGCGCGTTTCGCCTGAGACATTTTCGCAACTCTGGGCCAGATGCCGCGCGCGAGGTGGTCCAGTCCGCTTCGCTTGAGGCGTGCTCGCAACCCTGGGCTTCGAGATGCCGCGCTCGAGGTGGTCTGGCCAGTTTCGCCTGAGACATGCTCGGAATTCTGGGTTCCGAGATGCCGCCCGCGAGGTGGTCCAGCCCGTTCCGCCTGAGATATGCTCGCAACTGTCTCTCAGACTTCGCGCGAGAGGTTGTCAGGCCCGTTTCGCCTGAGACATCCTCGCGCAAGGTGGTTTGGCCCGCTTCGCCTGAGACATGCTCGCAACCGGGCTCCGAAATGCTGTGGGCAAGGTGGTCTGGTCCGAGTCGCTTGAGACATCCTCAAATTTTTAGGCTCCGAGAGGGAGGAGGAAGGAGTGGGGAGGGATCATATCCAAACGAATCATTTAATGACATTTCTGTTGTCTGCTTGTGATCTGGGAGGGGGGGTCTGGGCGCCTTCTGAGACGTGCTCGCAGCTCTGAGGTTCGAGGTGCCACGCGCGAGGTGGTTCGGCGCGCTTCGCCTGTGGCATTCTGGCAATGCTTCGAGATGCCACGCCCGAGGTGTTCCAGTCCGTTTCGCCTGCGATCTGGCAACCGTGGGCCTCGAGATGCCGCGCGAGAGGTGGTCGGGCCTGTTTCGCTTGAGACATCCTGGCAGTTCGGGGCTCCGAGATGCTGCGCTCGAGGTGGCCGGTGGTCCAGCCCGTTTCGCTTGAGACATCCTCGAAATTCGGGGCTCTGAGATGCGGCGCGGGGTGGTTCGTCGCGTTTCGCCTTCGAGATGCCCCGCGAGAGATGGTCTGGCGCGTTTTGCCTGAGACATCTTCGCAAGTCTGGACGCCGAGACGATTGGCGCAAGCTGGTCCGGCTTGTCTCGCCTGAGACATCCTCGCAATGTGGGGCTCCGAAATGCTGCTCGCGAGGCGGTCTGGCCCGTTTCGCTGGTGACTTCCTCGAAGTTTTGGGCTTCGAGTGAGAGGGGAGAGAAGAGACGAGGGGTCATGTCTGTTGTCGAATTGTGCTCTCGGGGGCATCCCTGGCCCGATGGAGGAGGTGGCTGACGCTGAGGCGCGAGCGCGTTTCGAGGGGGGAGCGCCACACTTGGAAAACTGTGGAA